TTTATTACAGAACATTTTGTACTATATATAACAATAAAAAATTCGGTATATTAAAATATACAACAATAGCACTTATGCTTGTTGTAGACGAAATTGTCATTACAATTAACCACATAGGACAATATAAATTGGACACTTAAGTATAAGTAATACGATTAAAAAATATTTTTATTTTGTAAATGTGTGTATATGTTTTCGAGTAAATACATTATTCGTAAGAAGCGTTGAAGAATTTAAACGTATCAGATCTTAAGTTAGGCAAAATATGGGCGAATTTTTAGTAGTCCCCTATGAGGGCCAGAAGGCATTTTTTGTAGTCTCCCGAACAGTCACCCTGGAATGGAAAATAATTATAAATTATTGATACCTATAATTAAATCGATGCAGGCTTCGGGTTTTATTAAAGTATTTACGTGTTAGAAAACAAAAGAAATGGTTCAACATTTACTGATTGCTTCAATAAGTATTTAAAGAGTAAAACAATCTGAAAGCAGAATTTTGTGTTCTCACCTTTATAGCATCAGCTAACGTTTTTCCATATTGCGCGATATATTGTTGTTTAATATCTCCCATATCGATTTCACTTCTTGTCACAACAATTCTTATCAATTGTCTGTCATTTGTTCCCATCCCAGCCATGCTGGCATGTAAGCGTTTTGCGAAGAATCCTGGCAAGTTTCGTACAGCTCTTATAATGGCTAAAAGTCCTTGTTTTATATCTCCTGAAAATTCGTTCTTGATTGCCTCCTCTATATCATGGCCAGTGATGTTATGGTATTCGTTGAAAGTAGCGCGTAATTGATTGTAATTTCTTTGGCACAAAACCATATTAAATGTGGATTCGTCGGTACCAAATCTTAGTTCTCCTGTTAAGGGATGAACGGTAAAAATCGAGTAAAATTATTTTCTTAGATAGGTGAAGATTGTATTATGACTGACCTGCCTGAAGAAGTTCTCTTGCATCGTTTGCAGCAGTTGCTTGATTAACAACTCCACTTTCATCCCTTGAAGCATTACACAAGGATACCATTAACCTCTTGAAGTTTCCTCCTGTGTCACCCTTCAAATCCTCTTCTAATGATCGTCCATACACTAAAAATTAATTTCTTTGCTCATTTTGACCTACTTATTGTAAAATCTTTTAAAAACTCACTGGATTCATATGCATTACGTATAGTTCTGATCTCGCTGTTACTTAGTGTACAAAGAACTTCAATGAGAGTGTCTTCATCGGTACCAATGCCAGAAATTGCATCATGTAGTTCGCTTGCGTAAAACTGGGGCAAGGGTGTCATCATAGCCACAATCACGTTTTCAAAGTTCCCGCTTAGTTCGCTTTTCAAATTTTTGATTAAGTCCTGAAGGATACAAAAAGAATTATACAGATCGTTTTAAAAAATGAATGAATTTAATTACCTTTCCGTACATAGTTTTAAATTGTAGTGCAATTTCAAGTCTCTGTGCGTTTGTTCTTTTGGTTAGAACATTTATGATGGCTTTTTCGTCTGTTCCAAAGCCTTTCATAGCCCTTCGGAGGATCTCGGCATCTCCCCGTGGATCGAAGGGATTTGCAGGCAGAACTGTGGGGGACCTCTGAAAAACAATAAATAAAACGTTACGAATTGCAGGAGTGTTGTTTTAAAATGACTTTTTAGAGATTTGAGTAATTTTGACTACAGTTTTATAAAGACATGTTAGTAATGTAATGGTAAATGACAATATCAATTTGGAAAAAGGTTTCTAAAGTGAATTCATGAAATAAAGTACAGCGTACAAAGCAAAACTTAAGCGCAGCTCACCTTTTCCCTAACCACCTGTGTACTTTGATCATTCGATAAAATTGGGGAGATTGTGGGGTACATTTTTGACGGATTATTAGAATGAGAAGGATAACCGGAACTAGAATGCGAATAACCATGTCCTGAAGAAGCAGCAGGATAGCCAGAACTTGAACCAAAAGATCCTGAGTGAGTGTTAGATGAAGGGTAAGGCGAATCAGAGTGGGAAGTTGGATATCCAGGACTATGTCCTGCAGATGGATAACTTGCTTGCGGTCTTGAAGGAGGATATCCTGATCCAGCACTGCTAGGAGGATATCCTGAACCTGCACTGCTAGGAGGATACCCAGAACCTGCATTGCTAGAAGGATATCCTGAACCTGCACTGCTAGGAGGATACCCAGAACCTGCACTGCTAGGAGGATATCCTGAACCTGCTTTGCTAGGAGGATACCTAGAACCTGCATTGCTGGGGGGATATCCAGGACCTGAATTGGTAAGAGGGTATCCAGGTTGGGAATATGTTGATGGCGGATATCCTGGACCTGATGATGGTTCGGATGGTGCGGAAGGTTGGGATGGTGGAGGGTAGCTTGGCATTGGCATGTACATTGGCGCTCCCGCACTAAACCCTAGACTAGGGGGAAAAACTCCTCCTTGAGGAGGGTAGGTAGGCGCGCCAGTAGGGTAGGGTGGATGCGATGGTCCTCCGCTGGGATAAGGAGCTGGCATACCAGGTGCCGGATTCGGAGCCTAAATAAAATTATCAACGTTAGAACGTTGAATGGAAATAATAGGGTAAAGTATTTTGGAGGTGAAAAATAGGATCACTGTTTTCGATGCTTGCGGTAGTTTAGAATATGAGGGGTGTACTAAATTTAGTTTTTATAAAGCTACACAATATATTGCGGTTAGTTTTTCGTCATGCAGAGAGAGAGCGAGAGCAACGAAAGAAAAAATTGATGGCTTTGGTTAATATCATTTTATGTTAGAGATTGTTATTGTTAATGATTCAGTAATTTCAACGAATTTAATGAGAAAACCGATTTTTGATAACATTAATAATTTGAATTCAACAGTTATAACGCCGGTAATACAATGCGCTGGTTTGGTGTACAATAACATTGTGAAATACATGAATATTTTCATATCATAATTAGTTGATATAGTGCATAAATGAATTGGTGCGTTTTAGTTTTATGAGCCATAAATTGTTGTTTGATTCATGGCCATGTAGTTTTTTCCATTTTCAAATAAAAATTCTCGTCACAGGTCACGGTTTCATACACCTATATCAAATAAATGTATACACACTCACAAAAAAATTGTGCACAACTTGCCGTTAATTGTGGCTATATTCTGTACGAATTATAAAAATTCCGAATAAAACTTTATTTACTTATACACTTGTTAAATGAGAAATAAAATTTTGGATAAAGATTGCGCCGATATACCTGCTTTGAAAGACGAATCCAGTAAGGTATTTCACAGGCTTAAGAATAACGGATTATCCTTTCAACGGCTGTATTTCTAAGTAAAGTAGGTACCTGTTTCGGTACGTATTAGTTACGACAGTAAAAGTAGTAGTCATTTGTCTGATGAAATTACTTTTGCTTTTGATCATTCAATTGTCTTTATTCTACCATTATAATTTCCAATAAATACCTGGTAGTAATTATTGCCTAATGAGATGTTTAAATGATTTTGTATCACCGAGTACATTTTACTACATTCCTTTGTGAATTAGAAAGCTAAATTTTCACAAATAAATGTTTCAATTTGTCGTAAAACGATAAATAATAGCAACTTCGGCGTTTATGGCTTTATTTATAATTTAACTTTTTGTAGTGATGCAACGTTAATTGGAAGATTTCTACATTAATTTACAAATTAACGATAAAACTCTGTTTTGAAGTTCTTCCGAAAATAAGAACTAAATGAAACTTTAAAAAGGATAGTAAAATTTACAAAAGTTGTATCTGCTGATAAGTTATAATAACTGAAAAGTAATTTATAGGAAAAGCAGCAATAATGTGTTTACACTAAGTGGATTGTAAACCAATAAGCGATTTTCTTATTAAAAAATCATAAATCGTAATTAAGTAGTATACATGATGCGTTGTGCATTACCTAAAAATATACAACTACATTGTTTGGCTTTTTTTATTTTTGGTCATTTCGTCATCGGTAATTTTGGCTTTATAAGTTGTAGGCTTTTCCATATATAAAACACAAAATTAATTCGTTAAATAGGCATCAATCAATCATTGCAGAATGTTTATCAGTCGAAATCGATATTTACAATATAATAACATAACTTAAGTACACATGTTGAACAATTAAACAGCTCAAAAGAAAGACGTGCAACAAGTATCTAATAACAAGTATCATTAAGATTACGATTAAATAAATATATTGTTAAGGGATAAAGGAAAAATAGTGGATTAGCGATATCAGATTTTTTACATACCTGTTGATGGGATGGATAACCTCCTGGATAACTCATTGTGAATATTATTGTATGACACGAATTTCTCTTTTTGAATTACTTAAATTAAGAAAGCACTGAGTGTTTCACAAGCGAATAACGGTTGGCACACGAATTCTTTGGGTTAGGATACGACTGGTCCTTGTAGAACACAAGTAAATAATGGGTAGGCAGGCAGGTAGGTAGGTAGTTTACAAATAATAGCAAGTAAGGAATGTTTTTCATGTGAATAGGAGGGCTTTTCGGTGTTTCATGTAATTGTAATGTAAATGTAGAAAGAGTAGGGGGAAACAAACTGATTGCAAGGTCGGTAATTGTGATGTCACAAATTGTTAAACGAGGCCGTACGATCGTATTCGCGAACCGAAAGCATTAGCGTTTCTGAATGAAAATATAGAGAATTTGTAACATTTTTAAAGTGTTATTTTGATCTTTTATTACGTATTTTAACTTTCTGCTGATGGTATAAGAATAATACTACTGAAAATAAATTAAAAGAACTTTTATCAATTTAGAAAGTTATGTAACTTACTTCATTTGTGTTGTCTTTACCTACCGTAACTTTTCGATTCTAACCTACCCAAACCTAACGCTTTTAGTTGATTGTTTGCGATCATAGGGTTGTAGGGGTTATAGTAAGACAATACAAAGGTATCTGCGACTTACAGAATTACTATTTCCGAAGTTTAATTTTTTTTAAATTTTGAAAAAACTGCAATTTTCAAATTAATTATGTTTCTGCTGTGTGATGATTATTTTTTCAATATTAATGCATTTGCCCCATAAACTGCAATGTTTGAACCAAAAACCGCTTAACTAAGAAAAACGATCTTGACGAGGTTTCGTATTAGAAGGAGAAACATTGACGTAGTTTTTCAAAATATAAAATTTTATACTCTAGATTGGCTTTGATTCATTATTCATTGGAATAATAAACTGAACAAATGGATATCGTTTTTTATGGTTTATTCGAAATGAGGTTTTTTGTAAGTCAAATGATGTATAGTTTATTTTAGTTTGTTACGTTGTTTGTTATTAAAAAATAGGATTACACACTAATTGTTATTTAATAATTTTGTTTTTAATTTATTTACATACATCACGCGCCGCTACTGTTTTCTATCTAAAAGTTTATAAATAATGTGACTATTGTTGTGGTTTTAAATTTGTTTTCTTACGCTTCGGATATTCCCGAAACGTTTCTTGGAGTCGTTTTTGACGACACCGTTATCAGTTTCTAAAGGAAATTGTCTGTCTGTACGTCATAACGATGAATCAATACAATTACGGTTTTAATAAGGCGTGGTGAAACTAGTGATGATGCTCTTGTTCAATTTAAAAGGAAAATATCCTGGTTCCTTACGTACTAAATGACTCATCATACGCACGAGTTTGGGCGCACAAAAAAAAACATCGCTCAAGTCCTAGTAAAATATCTGAACATCGAGAGTATATGTTAATTTACTTTTCTTAAGTAGCTATAAATTATAAATTATATTTAATTATGTGTAATTGAGATGAAAATACTCGAACTTTCAGTAAAGTTGTATTTAACTATAGTGTGATACTCTTTTTTACTAAACCAGAAATGCCGAAACTTTAATCTGAAATAAGATGGCAGGTGAATTGTTATTAAGTATACATACGTATACATAGTGTTAGGATCTTCCCTGTTGAATACTATTAATTACTAATATTCTTTATTGTATATATAAGTAGCTTATCTAACCCAAAGTCATTATTTAGACAAATAAAGTAATATGGTGTGACCTTATTAAACAAATCATGTCATTTTAGTAAAAAGCTTTCTGACAATTATAATATTTCATGGAAATAAATAAATGTAAAAGTTGAGTTTGGACTTCTTCAGGTCAGTATAAGTCATAAAGAATATGTATTTAAGCTCTGTCCATAACAATGATACGTAAAAATCAGCGCGGATAAGGGTGGAAGATTTTTTATTGATTACAAGATTTTTCAATTAAAGGAGAATTGTATTGATTAAGTATAACTTTTGTTCAAGAAGGAATTATGTTGGTCAAATATTATTAACGAGAAGGAAAATGTCCGATGTAATTTATCTCGTAACTAATTAGTCGAGTTACCTGTAATTAAATACATTTTTTGTAAAGAAAGTTTAAATTTTAATTAAACTTATTCAGTAATATTAATTTATAATTTGATCAGTTCAATACACTTTTGATTTTCAATTGGTCATAAATTATGACTAGGGTGTAACGTACACACCATTATGGATTAATTAACTAATGACTAATTACTTACGTCGAGTAAGTAATTGCGCAACATTTAATTTTTTTAATCACCAATCGAGGTTAGTAGCACCCTTGCGGTTGACTGACTTTTTGTATGAGTGTTCATTTAGTAATAAAAAAGTAATATTATTCATTTTTAAATAACTGAAACAAATTTATAAAGGAAAGAAAACCCTTTATTTTCAAATATAGATAGCTATCACTTATAAAAGAAAGAACAAAAAAAAATCATTATAGGTATAATATAATATATAGGTAGTGATGCTTTTGGCAAGATTTAAATAATTATTGTAGCATCTACATCCCAAACCTTAACAGATAGATTCATTAAAATAGGTATTTATTTGTACGGATTTGTACGGAATCGTCTATATTTTCTTTTAATTACTCCTCTCCAGCAATGGCAAGAAGGCAGTGTTTGTAGTCTCCCGATGTATCGTTCTGTAAGAAACATTAAAACAGTTATATTAAAATTTATTTAATAAAAAGGTTAAAGTATTCAATGATGTTTGTTACTTTTATAATTGTAGGGGTTCTATAAAGAAATTTTTCATTTCCTTGCTTTATAATTAGACATTTGACGTTGAAACTCACCCTAATGAATTCTGCCAGACTTTTTCCATATTTTTCCTGAAACTTTGCTTTGATATCTCCCAAATCGATTTCCGATCGTGTGACAATTATTCTTATTAATGTTGTATCATCAGTTCCTATACGATCCATACTGGAATGGAGACGTTCCGCAAGAAAATCAATTTTGTCTTTTATGCACTGATCGTATAGAGAAAAGGAAAACAAAAAGCGTTACTACTGGTATTTGTATGCGTATTTAGCATTTTGTTTAAACGATTAAAAACAAAAATGCTTATGTCATATTGTTGTGATACAATTGTTAATATTCAAATGAGATGTAACGTACGTGCTTGTTAATTTGTCGTGTTTACATTTAAATTAGGTTTTTATCTCTTTATATCTTGGTACACAATTTGCTCAATAGTTTTACTCACTGATTTTATATTCTAACGTAATAAATTTAGTAAAGTGCTTCCGTTGTATCACACTTAAATCATATATGTTTATATTTATACATATTGTTAATATGAAAACTTTTAAAATGTATTGAGGTCCTTTGGGCTAGTAGTGTTATTCGAAATGGTTGAATGTATAGCAGTTCATTTTTTAAAAACAAAAAAAATTTTTACGGAAAATTACGTTTAAATACGAGTTATTGTACTCAAGTACATTATTTACGAATTTGACGGATTTTGAATGAATTAAAAATAAAAAATCGTAACGTTTGTCAATTGTTTTACCTTTACTAACGCAATGAGAACTCTTTTTGTGGTGCCCGAAAATTCGTTTTCGATGGCTTCTTCAAATTCATGTCCGGTGATATTCTGATAATCGGCGAAGATTAGTTTAAGTTGTTCTCGGTTTCTCTGACACAAAATTTGGTTGAATGCTGATTCGTCGGTCCCAGCGAAAAGTTCACCAGCGCGAAGCAAAGTTTGAGCGTCTTGGTGAGCTTTTTCTGTGTCCGTAATTCCAGACTCGTCCCTGCAAGCCTAATAAGCACGTGTTAAATTATAGTTGTGAGTCAATCAATTAATTGAATTGTCTTAAAATTTGTCAGTGTTTTTATCATATATAAAGTTTACATAAATTATCCTTACTGTTATTAGGGACACAAATAATCGTTTGAGCGTTCCGGAAGTGTCCGATTTAATATCATCTTCTAGGGGTCCATATTCTAGAATACAGGAGCTCATTTGAAAACAAATGAAAGTTATGTTTTTGGCATATCATCATTTTTCCCTTCATGTAAATTGTAACGTCTAATACGCGTACGAAATACCTATTTCAAATTTTAGTTAAAAAAATACTTATTTTAGTGGGTATTTTTTAAGTTACGAGTATTTGGGTAGGTATAATTTAAAAATTTATACATTTTGCATATATAACATTGTTTATTTAAATTATTTGACTTACTAGTTTCGTATGCCTCCCTGATATTTTTAATTTCATCGTTTGTATGAACTCCTAATATTTCTATAAGGGCGTCTTCGTCTGTGCCGACCCCGCTAATGGCTTTGTGTATTTGTTTTGCGTAATAATCAACAGTAGGGTACATTAAGGCCACCACCAAGTCTTCAAAATTTCCTCTTAATTCACTTTTCAATTCGTCGATTAAGTCCTTAAAAATGACATTTTCAGGACATTTGAATTTATCATTAGTATATTACTAGGTAGCATACTTAAATTAGTAATAATAATATGTATTTCCATTATTGTTTATAAAAATTTAAGCAAAAGTAAACAGAAATACGTTTTTGAGTTGCTCGTATTTATTTCTTCAAAAAATTTTTTTTTAATCAGGTATTTTATAACGAATGTTCTACTTACTTTTCCATACATAGTTTTGAATCTTTTCGCAATTTCTTGTCTTTGTTCATTGCTTCGTTTTGCTAAAATTTCGATAACTTTTTTCTCATCCGTCCCAAAGCCCTTGAATGCCTGCTTTAAGGCTTCGGCATCTTCAGTGGGATTGAAAGGACTAGCAGGACGAATAGTAGGCTTAAAATGAAAGATATATCAGAATGAAATGATAATTTTAAAAATGTTTTCGATAAATAAATAAAAAGGTACTTACATTGACCATATTGAGAATCTACCGGTCAGTCAATAATCTTTCAATGAACGGATGATGACGTGGGAGGGTATGTTACGTCCTTTCGGCTCTTAATGTTCAACAACAACTCGTTGGTCGGTCTGTCTCCGAACACTGCCCAGACTTGCTCGACGCTGGTCAAGAATTCTATCATCGTGGTACTTGTTGAATGTACTATAGAGAATGTCTTGTAGGTGCTTTGTTGCCACATTGGCTTAAAAAGAATTAGCTATAGATTTTTATTAAAGTAGGTACCAGTTGTTTAGAAGTTAGAATTGTTCTTATATGATTGTGACCACTATAAGACGGGGGTAGGCAGGGGTTTAATCTCGGTATCGGGAATTAAGATGCCATACCCCAAAAGAAAACAGAGAACCCTAATTGGGACCATTCTGTTGTACGTTTTTCTGTTCGTCAAAACCTTTTTTCGCAGGAACGCGTAGAAGTATCAAGTGGAAATTCATATTAAATACTTAGGTCTGTAATAAAAAAATCAAACTTCTAAATCAAGGCAATTAAATGATACTGCCGTTTATGCCGCAGGGAATTAAAACCTGCAGGGTATTTCCTGTTGCCCTACAATGAAATTTAGTAAGAAGTCACATCACGAAAAAAAAAGTAATTCTTTAACTGTAATATTGTAATTATACGTTTTGGAGGCAGATTTTTGGGGAACTAAAAACATACTCGGAAAATCTGGAAAAATCATCTAGTCAATTCTCTTTATTGACGAACGATTATACCTACAAGTGTGCTCGGAATCCTTGTTGTGCGGGTTCTACTTGCCGTTAAATAATTCAGAGAAANGAAGTCACTTCTATGTTCGCGAACGGTTAAAAGAAATTCGAAAAACGTTATTAAAGGTGTATGTTTGGAGCGTGGCACTGTACGGGTGCGAAACATGGACGGTGGGCGCGGCGGAAAAGAAAAGGTTAGAAGCGTTGAAAATGTGGTGTTACAGGCGAATGATGAGGATACCGTGGGTAGAGAAAGTTAGAAATGAAGAAGTATTAGAAAGGATAGGAGAATGGAGGACTCCATGGAAGTCCATAAGAAATAGGCGAGACACCTTCTCAGGCCTGAAGGTCTAGTCAGAGACATATTAGAGGCGGAAGCGGTAGTTAAGAGGGGTAGAAGTAGACCAAGATTAGACTACTGTTCGCAATTAGTTAAGGATGTGGGTTGTTCTAGTTTTAGGGAAATGCGAAAATTAGGCCAGGATAGGAAAGAGTGGAGATGCGTGTCCAGCCGGTCTTAGGACTGACGACCTTATGATGATGAGAATGATACGTATAACGCCATTTTGTTATAATTGATTGAGTCAGTCATCTGTCTGCCTTTAATTTTAATAATTTGATCATATAAAAAGTTATCTAGATAACGCGAAAATAGTATGTTTTTTTAAGTATGGCGCCAAAACCGTTTCCAAACAGAGATGGATGTAAGCACTTTAACATTTTGATCCTTGATCCCAAGGATGTAATCGCCTCGATGGTGTTGGCAGTGTAAAAATGTATTGCATCAAATACTGCTACCTCGTTTACGTAGCCGTGTTAAATGATATGCATTCATAAAGAGAACTCGTTATCATTATTTGAACACAGGTTATTTTCATTGGATGAATCGCAATAAAGACATTATTACAGTCGATGTTCTATATACATACAATAGATTTTATTACAGTAGTGTCTATTAAAAATAAGTAAGGAAGGCAACCTATCTCGTATCAGACGAAAAACATTATCAGTTATCACATATTCACATCTTTTTATTATTTATCTGACATGTTATTAATTTGGACAAAAACAGGTAGGTCCTTTTCGAGATACGGCTAGGCATCCTTTCCTTACCTATCAATGCACAGTACTGTATATATACACATTATTATCTACAGAAAAATTACAAAAGTCAGTCATAAAGTCCGCCACGGTTTACAAAATTTATGATTTTTTAAATATTCTACAATGTGACTCAAAATTCTTGATAGTTTTGTTGCATTTATCCATGCATTGACGTTTTTTGTTATAACTTGGCACCCTTTCAAAGCCAAAAAGTAGTCAAAACACCAATGCATAAGACTACCCTTTTTTTTTTTGAAGCCCGCTGTTTTTTTTTTTAATATTTTCGTGGCAGTGATTTACTAAAACTGAAATAACATGAAAATTTGAAGGGTAGGTAGATGTTTTGGTAACGGGTTATTAGATACGTTATTGCAAACTTCGTCATTTAAAATGATATCCATAACGTCGATAGTTTTGTATAGTATGTTTTATAGTTGTTTATTTAACTTACGAAAATTGGTGGAGTTGAATAACGACAAATAATTAATTTCTATTCAAAGTTTTGACATGAAAACAAGAAATATTGATAATTTTGTTTGCATTAAATTTTATAAGTTCGTTATTTTATTCTTAAGATAGAAAAATGAGAGCAAAAAGGACACTTTTTTAGATCTAAAGGGATAGTCAGAGACATATCAAAAGCAGAAACAGGACTATCTAACTATGATTTGAAGTATTAATTATTATTTGTCGTTATTTTTCCCCTTATTTACCTCTTTTTGGATTGGGTGAATTTGCCAATAACAAAATATTTTTCTTAAAGAAATACAATAACTGTGAACCATTAATTTACACACAAAAATATTTCTAAATATGAAAATATATTTTGTTTTCATGTTTCTCTACAAAAATATGAAACCAATAACAGATAAAATATTTAAATCGAAAGTGAAACTTCTGAAATATGTCTTAATAGATTTTTTATTATATTTATAGATTATGTTGCATCGAATACTGTAACGTATTGTACAATATTACAATTTCGTATAAATATAAATATTACTTGTTGTTGCAAAATTGTATTTTTCAATTCACATTACTAAAAAGAGTTATCTAGGTAACTTTTTTGAAGGCACAGAGTACGCACTATTTTTTTACTAAAAGTTTACATAATCGACTTTATTGACATTTTGTGCCTCTTCTGATTAATGAATTTTTTTTTTCAAAGAAGTTTGAGACTGACTATTAACAAATTGAAATTTTGTGCTGTTTGTAATTGACACTGGCGATACTGATTGTTTGGAATCCTAAAAATCGTCTAGCAAGGGATGATAGGTAGGTGAACATTAGAACAGGATTAGTTATCACTTTTTATCATTCGGTTATTTGTAAATATTATCTAAATCGATATCTTTTTTCCTGCATGAATTGGATATTATATATATTTAATTGAATACCTATATAGAATTACTATTTCCGAAGTTTAATTTTTTTTAAATTTTGAAAAAACTGTGCAATTTTCAAATTAATTATGTTTCTGCTGTGTGATGATTATTTTTTCAATATTAATGCATTTGGTGTAGGGATAGATATACAGGTGCAAAATATTAGTATGTTTAGATAGCAAGAGTTCGATACAACTTATTGTGTGAAAACAAATAAAAATACAACAAAAATACTGGTATGCAAGGGAAGAAAAAGTAAGTAAAGAGCGAATATAAAGATAGGAGATGAAAAATTAGAAGAAGTGGCTGATTTTAGGTATCTAGGATGTCAAATAAGTCAGGACGGAAAGAGTAGTAGGTATATAAAGCTGAGGACAGCGCAGGGTCGAGTCGCCTTCAGTAAAAAGAAGTCACTTCTATGTTCGCGAACGGTTAAAAGAAATTCGAAAAACGTTATTAAAGGTGTATGTTTGGAGCGTGGCACTGTACGGGTGCGAAACATGGACGGTGGGCGCGGCGGAAAAGAAAAGGTTAGAAGCGTTGAAAATGTGGTGTTACAGGCGAATGATGAGGATACCGTGGGTAGAGAAAGTTAGAAATGAAGAAGTATTAGAAAGGATAGGAGAATGGAGGACTCCATGGAAGTCCATAAGAAATAGGCGAGACACCTTCTCAGGCCTGAAGGTCTAGTCAGAGACATATTAGAGGCGGAAGCGGTAGTTAAGAGGGGTAGAAGTAGACCAAGATTAGACTACTGTTCGCAATTAGTTAAGGATGTGGGTTGTTCTAGTTTTAGGGAAATGCGAAAATTAGGCCAGGATAGGAAAGAGTGGAGATGCGTGTCCAGCCGGTCTTAGGACTGACGACCTTATGATGATGAGAATGATACGTATAACGCCATTTTGTTATAATTGATTGAGTCAGTCATCTGTCTGCCTTTAATTTTAATAATTTGATCATATAAAAAGTTATCTAGATAACGCGAAAATAGTATGTTTTTTTAAGTATGGCGCCAAAACCGTTTCCAAACAGAGATGGATGTAAGCACTTTAACATTTTGATCCTTGATCCCAAGGATGTAATCGCCTCGATGGTGTTGGCAGTGTAAAAATGTATTGCATCAAATACTGCTACCTCGTTTACGTAGCCGTGTTAAATGATATGCATTCATAAAGAGAACTCGTTATCATTATTTGAACACAGGTTATTTTCATTGGATGAATCGCAATAAAGACATTATTACAGTCGATGTTCTATATACATACAATAGATTTTATTACAGTAGTGTCTATTAAAAATAAGTAAGGAAGGCAACCTATCTCGTATCAGACGAAAAACATTATCAGTTATCACATATTCACATCTTTTTATTATTTATCTGACATGTTATTAATTTGGACAAAAACAGGTAGGTCCTTTTCGAGATACGGCTAGGCATCCTTTCCTTACCTATCAATGCACAGTACTGTATATATACACATTATTATCTACAGAAAAATTACAAAAGTCAGTCATAAAGTCCGCCACGGTTTACAAAATTTATGATTTTTTAAATATTCTACAATGTGACTCAAAATTCTTGATAGTTTTGTTGCATTTATCCATGCATTGACGTTTTTTGTTATAACTTGGCACCCTTTCAAAGCCAAAAAGTAGTCAAAACACCAATGCATAAGACTACCCTTTTTTTTTTTGAAGCCCGCTGTTTTTTTTTTTAATATTTTCGTGGCAGTGATTTACTAAAACTGAAATAACATGAAAATTTGAAGGGTAGGTAGATGTTTTGGTAACGGGTTATTAGATACGTTATTGCATTTTACTAGGTAATGTTGTTATTAAATTTTCAGAAATTAATACATTCATATTACATAATTCATTATTTTTCAACGTTCAGGATGAATAAATTATACTTTCAGGCTTATACAATTATTTTGACAAGTTATAGTAACCACTTAACATACACGAATTGGATGCCATTTTGCAATCACTCTCGACAATTGCAAAATTAAATTAAAATATAGTATAAACAACAATTAATAGTGCCGAATGGTCTGGTGTTATACCTGTGTATTGCTTAAAACGTATGGCAGTTAATGTTTTTCATCACAGGCTGAGTAATAAAGAACATTTAACATCTCAAGATGTCCGAGTCATCTATATAAGAGTGTTGATTGGTAAAGTTATTTTTCAACACTCTTCAGTTTTGTAACCATCCGTGCAAAACGTTGTGGTTCGTCTAAGAACAAAAACTCGAGCAACAGTCCATAAAATTAGCAGTTCATATTTTTGTTTTAAAAGTTTTAGTGGTAAATCAAGCAAAAAAACAACTGAAAATTTTTCTGGCATGGAAAGCTATCTTTATGTAACAAAACGCTTTTGGTCAGTGTCCTTTCTAAGCTGTCAGACGTGGATGGTAATTAAAAACTCTTTGGTTCTCTTTAGCACGCCGTAAATAGCTTGGATAGAACATCGACCAACCCCTACCTTCTTAATAAGTATACACAGCGTAGTGAACATTGCGATTCAATGATCAACAATGTCTTTTTCTAATAAAGTCAGAGTAATCTGTCTAAGACCCCTCTCTCCCTTTGATGAGATTTACCGTATTTATCGATTAATTTTTGAAGTGAAACTTGTATATAGAAGGGGGGTATTACATTTTCTTCAGTCACGAAAAAGCGTTACGGCTGCGTGGAGGGGGTAGACGGTATATCGCGTGGTGAGAGGCGGCAGCAGCCGCGGGAGAGAAAGGCTGGCAGTATCGGAGAGGAGAGGGCAACGGCTGTATTATATGGATATAATGCGCAGCCGTGCTGAGAGCGGGGAGTCCGCTAGAGTCCCGGCGGCGTGTGCTGTGCTCAGCTGCTGTTTTCTTACCTCTGCTCTCCACGAGGCTGGGCATCATTGCCTTTATTTGCGGTTTGTGTAAAAACCAAATCATAATTTGCAGTAAACCTTTGAAAACGAAATATGTACTGGGATGCATAGTAGAAGTAAAACTTCAAAGGACAAGTGGAACAACGAATGGCAACGGACAATTGGAAAAATATTTATTAGATAGGTTTTTTGTTATACTTATTAAATTATTACTGCTGGTGTTTAATTGACAGATTTCTGACATTTTGATATCTTTATTAGAAGAAGACTTTGTTGAACATTATTGAATATGGGGATAGGTAAATGCAAATGACATTCAGTTTGCTGTATATACGTTTAGGTATGTATTTTGATGAAAATTGTAATAATTAGAGATACCGTAATATGGACATATAGTTGCAGCTAAAGCTGATATTAGACTTCCTTTTCAAAAAAAAAAAATTGAATTGGATGACAATGCTTGCAGTTTTCAATTTTCTAATAAAATTTAAATTGTTGTATTATTTCGAAATGAATTTGATTTTTTTAGTAATTATATTCTATTATCTGCAGGATACAAAAAACGTGTTTTTGAAGAATCTAGTATCGTTTTAGTATCTATCTATTAATTTAAGTTCATTTCAAACTCTTAAAGCCCCAATTTTTTATTCCTATGGTTTGGAACACATTACATAGATAGGTAGGTACTCTTTTTGTCTCTACCTCGTAGTTAAGATTGTCTCTTCTTAATGGACTGTGCATATAAAAGAAACATTTCTTTTTGCACGGATCTCGACGGCAGTGAAAATTTTCAAGATCATACCGTTTATTGTTTATACGTAAATATACACTCGTAATAAGAATTACTAAAGACTCTTTACTTGTAGATCATGGTAGTTATAATATGCATATTATATAATAATAGGTCAACAAAAGGAAGAGCAGTCCAGACACCGAGTCCAAATCTGGTTTCAAAATTTTTGGATATCCCAACCTTAAGAAAATGCAAATTTTGAGAGCATTACTGCGTGAAAAAAAGGGGCATAATAACTAAAAGGGTAGCCATTTCCGAGATATCTTTTATCAGTATTTGGATTTGAGACCAAGATACTTATTCAATTCTTGGCCCAGATTCGAATTTACTTTCGGAAAATGCATATATAGAAAATTATCACTATTTTTGTGTTTTTTTAACCATAATAGTGCGTCCTTTTTTTGGCACCCCTCTCTTTTTTGAATACATTACTATGGGAAGATGAAAAAAAAAAATAAAAAAAAATCAGTTGTCTGTAAAGTCGGTTTACTGACGATAGTTGAACGTGACAACGTCATAAGAAAATACTGATGGAATGGTTTCATTTTTCAAAAGAAAATTTTAATTTTATTTGTTTGATAGATATTTTGTATGGATATAGAGATGGAGGTAAATGGAAATGTATTACTGTATAGCAGCTGTCCACGCGGACGCATCGCTCACTCAAGTAGGAGAGAGACAGATGTCGAACGCTGCCGAACGCGGAGGCCGATTGTGCCTCTTTGTCGCTGATTCCGCGCTCTCGCTTGCACTTCAAGCCTTAAATGGAACGCCTCAGAGCGAGGTAACGCCGCATGAGTCATGTTTTTTCGTGCGTGCAGCCGGTATCGAATTATAAGACGTTGTCACGTCAAAAAGAAAGTAAACGCTTTGGGTGTATTCTTCAACGGTGGCGCACTGAAGTACGACCCAGAAAAGCTCTAGAAATTGAAATTTTAAGATATCCTAACTTCAAAATCAAACAAGCCGAAAAAGTCATACTATTCATGTAGTAATGTTCACAAAGGGCCAAAAATTGAATGTTTTGGTATTTAAAGTAAGGATAATCCAATATCCAGATATGTTGCAGCAATTTTGATACTAGATTCAGAATCAGTGCGGCAAACTGCGTCGGAAATGATTTCTGTGGTCTTAGTTGTTTCCAGATACACGTTAACCTGTGATAATTAGCGACTTTATTAAAGTCAATTTATATTTATGTCCTTTGTAACCGTAAGCATTCTGAAATGATAAGATTTCATCTAACAAGTCCTCCCTGTAATTTGTATTCCTGGGTTTCTAAGCCTAATGCCTTAAATTGGATAAAACTCTAACAGGTACTATAACAAATTTATATACGCTTTTTACATATTTTTAATCGAGAAACTGTCAGCTTAGGTACTGGTTTTCTCGAATGTTGCGATAAAGAAATTTAAAATGTGTCAAAATCAGTCTTAAATTAAAGGACTTTAAACAAGGAATTGTATGAGCGATTAATTTACTAGAAATATCAAATTATTCAAATTATTAAATTTCCTCTTCNAATGAATTTGATTTTTTTAGTAATTATATTCTATTATCTGCAGGATACAAAAAACGTGTTTTTGAAGAATCTAGTATCGTTTTAGTATCTATCTATTAATTTAAGTTCATTTCAAACTCTTAAAGCCCCAATTTTTTATTCCTATGGTTTGGAACACATTACATAGATAGGTAGGTACTCTTTTTGTCTCTACCTCGTAGTTAAGATTGTCTCTTCTTAATGGACTGTGCATATAAAAGAAACATTTCTTTTTGCACGGATCTCGACGGCAGTGAAAATTTTCAAGATCATACCGTTTATTGTTTATACGTAAATATACACTCGTAATAAGAATTACTAAAGACTCTTTACTTGTAGATCATGGTAGTTATAATATGCATATTATATAATAATAGGTCAACAAAAGGAAGAGCAGTCCAGACACCGAGTCCAAATCTGGTTTCAAAATTTTTGGATATCCCAACCTTAAGAAAATGCAAATTTTGAGAGCATTACTGCGTGAAAAAAAGGGGCATAATAACTAAAAGGGTAGCCATTTCCGAGATATCTTTTATCAGTATTTGGATTTGAGACCAAGATACTTATTCAATTCTTGGCCCAGATTCGAATTTACTTTCGGAAAATGCATATATAGAAAATTATCACTATTTTTGTGTTTTTTTAACCATAATAGTGCGTCCTTTTTTTGGCACCCCTCTCTTTTTTGAATACATTACTATGGGAAGATGAAAAAAAAAAATAAAAAAAAATCAGTTGTCTGTAAAGTCGGTTTACTGACGATAGTTGAACGTGACAACGTCATAAGAAAATACTGATTAAATGGTTTCATTTTTCAAAAGAAAATTTTAATTTTATTTGTTTGATAGATATTTTGTATGGATATAGAGAAGGAGGTAAATGGAAATGTATTATTGTATAGCAGCTGTCCACGCGGACGCATCGCTCACTCAAGTAGGAGAGAGACAGATGTCGAACGCTGCCGAACGCGGAGGCCGATTGTGCCTCTTTGTCGCTCGTTCCGCGCTCTCGCTTGCACTTCAAGCCTTAAATGGAACGCCTCAGAGCGAGGTAACGCCGCATGAGTCATGTTTTTTCGTGCGTGCAGCCGGTATCGAATTATAAGACGTTGTCACGTCAAAAAGAAAGTAAACGCTTTGGGTGTATTCTTCAACGGTGACGCACTGAAATACGACCCAGAAAGGCTCTAGAAATTGAAATTTTAAGATATCCTAACTTCAAAATCAAACAAGCCGAAAAAGTCATACTATTCATGTAGTAATGTTCACAAAGGGCCAAAAATTGAATGTTTTGGTATTTAAAGTAAGGATAATCCAATATCCAGATATGTTGCAGCAATTTTGATACTAGATTCAGAATCAGTGCGGCAAACTGCGTCGGAAATGATTTCTGTGGTCTTAGTTGTTTCCAGATACACGTTAACCTGTGATAATTAGCGACTTTATTAAAGTCAATTTATATTTATGTCCTTTGTAACCGTAAGCATTCTGAAATGATAAGATTTCATCTAACAAGTCCTCCCTGTAATTTGTATTCCTGGGTTTCTAAGCCTAATGCCTTAAATTGGATAAAACTCTAACAGGTACTATAACAAATTTATATACGCTTTTTACATATTTTTAATCGAGAAACTGTCAGCTTAGGTACTGGTTTTCTCGAATGTTGCGATAAAGAAATTTAAAATGTGTCAAAATCAGTCTTAAATTAAAGGACTTTAAACAAGGAATTGTATGAGCGATTAATTTACTAGAAATATCAAATTATTCAAATTATTAAATTTCCTCTTCGAATAACGCGTTTGATTAATTTTTAATGACGGTTTTTAGTACTAAATTAAACTTCCTTTCTAATGGATTTCGAATTTATTAGGAATAGCGAACGAAAGCTTTTGTTTAATGTACCATTGTGTTTACTTAGGGTTTCTATTAAAATAACCTTTAGAGTGAAATTTATTTACAACTAATTAATTTTATTTACTTGTACGTGATACTTTATCTTGTTAAAAAATGTCATTCGTTCCTTGTCTAAATAAAATAAGGTATAAAATATGTTCCTGAAAAAAGGAAATAGAAATAATAAATGGCCGAATTTTTTTTTGGAAGATTTTGGGTCAATTCAAAACGAACGAACGCTCTGCGCGCGGGTCAAACTTCTCGTATGTTTTGCGTTTTCCCATTGGTTTTTGGTTTAAGTAGCACCCACCTATTCTAAAATTATTCTTTTATATGTACTTTAAGAAGTAAGGTTTAGAATTATAAAAAAGGAAAACGCCGTTTCGATGCCGGTATTTTAGACAAGACAAACCAGATCCCAGCTGAACATTGGTCCTTCGCGAAATGTGTTAGGGAACAACAAGGAAATTCTGTACGAATCCTCGAGACGTAAAGGTCAGACGGTCGTGACTCTGTCGACTTCGACGTATCGTACAGAATTGTCGCTGTGTCAGCAAATAATGCCCTTTTCGTCGATGATGGCAGTGTCCGAAGACAGACTTCTCAGTCTCGTTTGAAGGAACGATCTGGTCCTTCGTCGCTTGCATAGTTTCCACACAACGAAGAAGGCGGTGGTACAGAGTAGAATGATGCCCATAAGACCCAGGAACAGATACAGGGGAGGCAGTTGGAAGATGAACGAGCAGTGGGTCAGCGCTTCGTCTATCCCGGAAGGACAGTCCTCTACACCGTCACACCAGACTGTCGAGTTTATACAGGCGTCGATTTCCGGGCAACGGTAGAGACATTCTTCCGCTTTCGTCCACAAAAGGTTGAGACCGTTGGATGGGAAAACTCGTCTAAATTACAAAAAAAGTATGGTTACTACCACGCACCGTTCATAATCCTCTGGAACTTTCCCCGTCTCGTAAATGTGACTAACTAGCTTAAACATACAATCCCCAACCTTTTGTCCTGCATGTTTTAGAATTTCCTATGTATCCCATCTGTGCCTGACGCCTTATTATTCTTTTAGTTTACGTTTTAGGTTAGATTAAGTTAGCATAGATTGCGCTGGATTGACTTGGGTTGAATTGTACTGTTTCATCATGTTATGTATGGTTGGTAAGGAAGGAAAAGTACGGCAAGTTGGCATGGCGCATGTTTGACCGGGTTAGGTTAAGTTAGGTTAGGTTAGGTTAGTTTAATTTTTTAAAGAATTATTTTCAAAAATTAGTTTAATGATGTTCAGGATATTTACCTTCTTGACAATTCCAGCCATCTGACCGAATAAGTTCCCTCCTCTTTACCTAAAAACTCAACAACTATGCTTCGCGATAGTTCGTTGCCTAAATAGTCAATTCCAATTTTATCAACTGAAAACGACTTAAGTCCGTGATCCTTTTTGCGATGCCATCCTTCAGAGAATATTTCGACCAAATTGTATCTCGTGGTGGTAGAATAAGGACAGACGATGGCGGTGTAGAGGGACGTGTGAACCGTAATTCTGTTGGCGCTCAAACATTTCATCGGAGACACCTTTGTCTCATTTCCATCGTGGCTGAAGTGCTGAAGGATGACTCCATGAATTTTAACGTAAAGGTATTTGCGTCCCGTCGGAATTATTACTCTCGGGTAGTTTTCGCAGTTGAGCTGAAATTGAAAAGGTGTAAAAGAGGGGAAATGAGCTCTTAACAAGTGCTTCCCGATTCGCACCACGGTAAAACTGGAACAACAGGAGAACGTAAAGTAAAGAGTTGTTAATTTTAATTTAACCCTAACGAATACACAGGGAGTAACTCAAAAAGTTATTTGCGCTTGTATTATATAAAATATTGTGTTAATTTAGTCGTGGTTTTTCGGGCTTTCTGGCCGTCGTCTTTCAAGGTTAATCCTCGACGTTTCGTCGCCACGCCCGGACAACATCTTCAGAAGATTTTACTGCTGTTGCTGCTGTGGTCAGTAGAGAAATGTGTACTCTACATTAACGTTTGCCGCGAAAGTTTAACCCAAATAGTGATTGTGTTAATTAATTGACATCTGATTGATTAGACTCCAGTTTTAGGTTATTAAATTTTTTTTGTAGTAGATAATCGTTCTTGCGGAGAACAATAACTATAATAATAATAATAAACTTTTATTAAATCGATAATGAGGCCTCTTTGCTTTTATTAATAATTAATTCGTTAATGAATACTAGGTGTATGGCAATTTTTGGAAGAAATCAGAAAGGTAGAAGACAAAAATCGCAAATGATGATTTTTGATGGTTTAATGATTGATCTTTTATGTCATTATTTCAAAAACGTTTACTGTTACATGCAATAAATACAAATAATATTTAAGAAAACAGGACAAAAAGAAAGATACGTTCTTTATATCATATTAAATAAATAAAAAAAAAATAAACAATATCGTTTTTAATTAATGTAAAGAGGTCGTGGTTTCATATCTATCTGGATACATATAATTTTATTAAAAATACGAAATTAGCTCAAGTTGAAAATGTTGCATTTAGGTATACGCGAATTGAATAAATTCGCTCACGGTAGCGTGTGCATGTTTATCATTCTTGAAATGTAAATGAAGGCATTCTTATGTACGCTGGGATATTTACATCTAAGAGAAAGCGCATAA